AAAAAATATGTGCATACACTGGTGCTTTTATTTGTATTTATTTATTTATGAGTGTGTCAGGTATTGAACTCAGGGTCACTCAACCACTGAGCTACATCCCCAGCCCTATTTTTTATTTTATTTAGAGATGGGGTCTTAGTTGCTTAGCCCCTTGCTTTTTTGCTGAGGCCGACTCTGAACTCCTGGTTCTCCTGCCTCAGCCTCCTGAGCCACTAGAATTACAGGCATGCACCACCACACTGGCTTTACATGGGTGTTTTTAAAAACTAAGAGTGCCTTGGTCACCTTTTTACTCTTGCTTAACAGGTATCTTTTTTGGTCATCTTCATAAAGCCTCCTTAGTTTCCATTTAATAACTGTTTGTTTCCTGTCAAATTAAAAAAAAAAAGTAGTTGGTAGAGTGCTTGCCTCACATGCACAAGGCCCTGGATTAAAAAAATAAATAAATTGTATATTACATTTATCAAAGTTACTGTGGAGATTGGGAGCTCTGTTCTCAATTGTTGGTATTTCTAGTAGGTGGTAGGTAGACTGTATTTTCTAAAATGTTGAAATTTGACTTTAATGTTTTACTCTTAGTTGTTAACATTTTCCTCTTAAAGCTAAGAGAAATATAATATTCCTTTGAAACAAAAATATATCTGTTTGCATTGTAAAGTTACCAAGATTTTTAATTGTCTTAGAAGATTATCTGAATAGTTTTTAAATTGCTGTCTAGTGATATTTCTGTTTTGAATCTGATGTGTTTTGTCTGTGGTAATCTATACTAGAGCTTCTTTTCTTTCTTTCTTTTTTTTTTTTTTGGTAATGGGAATTGAACCTCAAGTTGAGCCACATCCCCAGCCTTTTTTTGAACTTTAGAGACAGGGTTTCTCTGAGTTGCTTAGGGCCTCACTAAGTTGCCAAGGCTGACTTTGTACTCAAGATCCTCCTGCCTCAGCCTCCCAAGATGCTGAGATTACAGGCAAGCACCACTGTGCCTGGCAATCCATACTTGGAACTGTAGCTGAGAAAGACTTAGATTGTTTTTTTTCTTTTTCATTCTGTCACCTTCAGACTGTTGTTTTATTTAGAAACAATTACTAATCCCAAAATGTTGATAGAATAAAAATAACTTTAATGAAATGTCTAAATATTTATGAAAGTTCCTTTCTGCTTCATTAACAGGCTTTTAAATACTTAAGAGAAGAAGTTAAAACGTTTCAGGGCAAGCCAATCATGGTAAGAAACATTTGTAAATACAGTAGAGGAATGGTGTGAACAGTTTTTGTTGTTGTTGTTGATGTTTTTGTCCTTTAAGAATTTTAAAAAACATGGAAATAATATTTTACAAAAACAATAATAATTTAAAAGATATTTTTGGCTTGTATTATTTGATTTTTAGTTGATAGAACTTTAACAACAGGAATGAAAAACATTCTTAGTACTTTCACCCTCATCTCAATTGACTGCATTCCCACATTAACATTCAACAATTTGGGAATTGTCATTGATGACACTTGATCGTGTCTTATCTGTTCTTGGGTCCTATGAAATCTACCCTCAAACTTCTTTCCATCACTATTACTATTGTTTGAACAATTGGAGTAGCTTTGTAACTGCTACACTTTACCGTTCTCCGCATTATTACCTGTGAAGGGTACTTCATTTTACTAGTGCAAAAAGTGAGAATAACCTACCTGCTTTCATATAATTAGTATGTTATATTATTAAGAAGTATATGTCAGGCATGTTCTAAGAATTTATTTTAAGTATTTTTTTTTTAGTTACAGGTGGACACAATATCTTTATTTTTAATTTTATGTGGTGCTGAGGATCAAACCTAGTGCCTCACACATGCTAGTCAAGCGCTTTACCTCTGAGTCATAACCCCAGCCCATGTTCTTAGAATTTGACATATTTAATATCATCCTTATTGTATAGTAGGTCATGTTATTAGTTATTCATGTTACGAATAAGCTATTTGGTAGTTGTAATTATTTTCATTGCCTCTGATGCTCTCCTATTATTATCACCTTCTTTACTTTGAGACTATGAAAATGTTCTGAGTCTTTTAATAGCTTCAAGGTTTTGTATTTCAGATTTAGGTCTTAGGATTTAGTATTTACCAAGATCTAAATCTTAGTAGTATGAAATAGAAATCTAATTTCATTTCTTAACATAAATGAAAAAATACTATTGTCTCAACATGAAATTGTTGACTGATTTATTCTTTTGCAATGTGGTTAGTGCTAAATCTCTGAGATCTGATTCAGGTTCTTTTTCCTGTATTCTGCATCTCTACTTTCCTGAACCAATACTAATATTTTTTAATTGCCATAGTTGTGCAATATCCTTATTTCTATATATAGGGTTTTTTTTCCTTTTTCTTATTTTTTCAGGGTTATGTTGGCTATTCTGAAACCATTAATTTTCCATATGAATTTTGAAACATTTGTCCAGTGCCAATTTTCAAAAGTTATTTGAATTAATGAGAATATCATTAATTTATTGATTAAGTTGAGGACAGTTGGCAGTTTCACCTTGTATTTATTCATTGTTGTGAATAGTAGTACAGTATTCATTCTGGTCTGCTGTGTGTGTGTGTGTGTGTGTGTATGTATGTGTGTGTGTTGCTAAGGATTGGACCAAGGGCATCATTCATCCAGGCAAACACTTTACCACTGAGCTACAGCTCCAGCCCTTCTTAAAAATTATGCTTTTGGGATTGGGGTTATGGCTCAGTGATAAGCACACTTGCCTGGCATATGTGAGGCACTGTTTGATTCTTAACATGTCATATAAATAATAAAATAAAGGTCTATCAACACCAAAAGATAATTTTTTTAAAATTATGTTTTTGTTTGTCCTTGTCCCACTAGTGGGTGGAGGTGGGGGGGTTAATTTTGGTATCTTAGGGGTTTTTTTGTTTGGTTTTCTTTTTGTTTTGTTTAATGTTATAGTCTACGGCAACCTTGGTGAGCATCTTTATTGTATCTAATGGTTGGTGGGTCTTTTGGATTATGAACATGAGAAATGATGAAATCTGCAAATAACCTGTAGTTTGATTATTCCTTCACTTCCCGTTTCTTTTTTCTTTTGCTGAAATTTCAGGTATAGTAATAAAAGTTTATTCACTGTAGTTTTTTGTTTTTCCTCTCTACCATTTTGATTTTTCTTCATGTTTTTTTTTTTTCTTCACATAGCAGTGTTCTTGCCAAGGAATTCACTTTAGTTTCCATCACCTCTTTTTGATTTGATTTGATTTTTTTCCCCATGGTATAGATTGAGGCCAAATCCTTGAACATGAAGCAAGTGCTATACCACTGAACCACATCCCCTGCCTCCACATTAACATTTATGCCATCCATCCAAACCAAATGGCCTAATACCTGGAAAGAAAAATGCCAGAGCCAGAAATCCTATATGGTGCTCTTAGCTTAAATAAGACAAACCATTTGTGTTACTGGAAATTGAATCATAAGGCCTTAGTACATGCTACGCTTGTTCTCTACAACTGAGCTAGACCCTCAGTCTGAACATGTAATTTTAGAGGCTATATTCTAGAATTTATATTTTAAAAAATTTTCATATGTTTAGATTGCATTCTAACTTTAGCCAGTTAACATAATTTTTTTATAGTTCCCCCCACCTCACCCCACTGCTGGGGATTGAATCTAGGGCCTTGGCACTCTACCAACTGTGCTATATCCCCAGCCCCCAATTTGTATGTTATTTATAAATACATTTATAATAGCTGGATTAAAATCTTTGCTGTTTTCAATGATGCCCTTGGTTCAATCCCTAGCAACACACACGCAAAAAAAAAAAAAACCACCCTAAACACACACACACAACAGACCAGAATGAATACTGTACTACTATTCACAATAATGAATAAATAT